AAAAAAAAAAAAAAAATTAGCTTTAAGAGGGTTAGGCCTACCTTAAAATTAAGGAACGCTCGACCTCGACACGTGATATCGAAATGGGCGAAATCGCCTCTTGATGTCACTAACTATCTTGACTCTTGACTCTTGAGTTCGGGAAAAATTCAGCTTTTGTGGTGCATCCCCTCAGGACACAGATTTTGGGTAGGTGGTCTTTCCAAAGATATTTTTACACCAGCAAAAAGGGCAAAGGTCTGAAACTTGATGGGCACGGAGTTCCGTAAATACTTATTTATGTAAAAATATATATTTGGAGGATAAAACCCCTCAAGATACATTTTTCGTGAGAGGCGCATTTTCCAGGATTTTTTTCAATCCAATAAAACAGAGAGCAAAAGAAAGTTGAAACTTGGCTCAGAAGTACCTGTTCAATTGCTGAGTGCAGAAAAAATCCTACTTTTGAAATATATCTCCTCAAGACATATTATGGGAGGGAAGTACTTCAAGATTTATCTCCCCCCATGAAAAAAAGGGGCACAGGAAGAAATATGAAGTTAGGCACACAAAAAATTATCGAGTAATGATTTCGATAATAAAAAAATTTAAAAAAAACCTGGTTACGGCCCCTCATGGCAGATATTTCGACAGGAACGTACATTACGTTTGTGCCACTTCAAAAATGAAATAAAGAATTAATCACGATTCTGGATAATTTAGCGCAGAAGGCGCGATCATTCGCTGGGTGCACTAACACTAGATAGCGTGTTTTAAATATGGCGCTGCCCATAACTGGGGGGGATCGCACATAAGTAGGAGAATGGAACAAAGTCATGTCTTCACAGAATTGTACAATCTTTCTTCACGTGGGACTCCTCCCAATTTCTTCCTAAATCTTCAGAGCCACGACAATGATAAATGGAGCTTCTACCCAGGGATGTGCAACCCGCGGCCAGCGGGCCGCATGTGGTCCGTGGATCTACTTTTTGCAGCCCTGTAATGCATACTGGGATAAGAGATAAAGTAAGTTTCGCTGCGGACCCAAGACCCATCACAACTTTGCTCTTCCTTTAGTAACCAGAAATAGACTGAGTCCTTTTACTTCATTCTCCTAATTATTCCTCACGCGGACGGTGCTACAAATGTCCCGAGGAAGGAAGTTCTCGATGCCAAAGGCCATTTCGGGCGTTGAAATTTCCTCAGGGAATTTCCTAGGGGTAGATATAAGGGTCATCTGCCAATCAGCGCGACCTTATCCCTTCGTATTCCCTCAGGGCAAAAGAGGGGAGCCTTTGCTTTTGCATTCTATGGCCCGCGTGAAGCTCAGACATTTCCATGCGGCCCACTGCGGATTGAGGTTGCACACCCCTGTTCTAGCCGAAGTAAACCATGTTATAAATGCGACAGAGTTCAGGGGTGTGCATAAACGTAGTTCAATCATTAATCGAACTTCACCTTCAAAGGAGTTTACTTCTGCAGGTTTTCCTCAAAGCCACTCACCAATGCAAGGATTTCTATGGAATCATGGGCCTCTGTGAGGTACATGTGCATGATATGCGTGGCATACTATTAATATCTTCCAATTTCCTATAGAATTCACTACAACGGGAAACTGCTTCAAACTAGGGTTGGGTTTCCAACAAGACGCTTGGCAAGATTTTGAATTTCGTTTATTGCCAAGTCCTGATAAGATGTCCTCTACCTTTAACGCCCTGTCAAGTGGGAATAATGATTTATTTGTAAGGTTTTTTCTCCCCTCGGGGCCGTTTCCATGGCCAGGCGATCGTTGGGCCTTCTTGCCTTTTTCTTGCCTCGAATTTTTCGTATCAAACCCAACCCTACTTTGAACTTATTAAGTTTTGACTCCTATTGCCTCTATATTTTCTTAAGTGCTGCTAGTTTTTTCCCCCCTATCAGTTGTGCTTCATGGGCTTAAATCATAACCCATGACAGAAACCCTATTTGTATTAGTACCTCATGATAAATAGTATCATGTCAAGGGTAAATGTTGGCTATTTATCCTGTAACAGCAAATGCCAAATTTGGCCCATGGAATGTGAAGTCCTAGATTGAAAGAAACATCATTATAGGCCTTTCGGGCTGTCTGGATGCTCAAAGTAGAAACTTCAGACCATCAATTACTTACTATATAATCATTCTTGGCCTTAGGAAATCCCTCTGGCAATGAAACGTGCCACCTCCTTCATATTATTTAACATACAATTCATATGATGTCCAATTGCTTCCATGGCCACCACTTGTCTCTAATAATATAATGAATTGAATTGAAATAGCTTTATACATGGAAGCAGATTTAACATCCGCCAACACTGCTCAAGATGGATGCTCCCTATTGCGCGATTGTGAACGACGCAGAGCGAGAAGTAGGAGGCCTGACTCAACCAAAAGTGCCTCTCTGGAATGCAATGCTTTCTCCGAGTGCTTCCAAGGCGTCGAATGCCTTAGACAATACGATGGATGACAAGACGGACTGTGCTGAAACGGAAAAGTGGCCGGGTTTCGTGAATGACAAGGAGTCTCATCTTCGGTTGCCTTTTCAGAGCATGTTTGCGCTCGACTTTGCCTCGCAATACCTCTCTGATTTTTGCCAGAGGGGTTATACCTCCTTACCATGTGATCTGAATGTCGATGGATTCTCTATGGAACAGAATCAAACTGTTGAAAGCTTCATGAAGGATGTAACTGTTGAACAAGGGCGTGAGGCCATTGAATTTTGTCTTCTCCATCAACCAAATGCTTCTAACATATGTCTTGAAACAACGAAGAATTTAGCAGTGCCATTTATCGATAGGCCTAGTCAGAAGTTTAGCACTCTCCTGACAACTTCCACTCCATTACTTGGGAAGATGAAACCCATTCCTGGTCTTTGCAACTCCACCGAATTCTGTGAGCCAGGGACACCCGTCATGTTAACTTCGAGGCCAGAGTCTGCTTTAGGCATAAGTCCTAGCGCTTCGTTGTATCATGATGTAAATGGGTTAGACTCCAAGTTGGACCAAAACTGGAAGAAGGTTGAGGAACTTAGAACTGAAAATCTTCAATTGCAAGCAGTAAGTGAACTGAAACTTTGGATTGAGATGTATTAGGCATAAATATGCTCATATTTTTTTGGTTTAGAAGGCCTAAACTTCCATAAGCTGAACTTTGTATTAGTTGCCAAAAGGTGTCTATTTATTGAAGGTGGTGAAGAGTTTGAAGGAGAAAAATGAAGTTTTGAAGGAGGAGACAGCTAAAGTCATCCAAAAATACAAGGACAGAGCTGACGAACTTCAACATCAAACTGTACAGGTAGGATATAGGCCTAAGCATGCTTTTAATACAAGTATTTATATTCTCATGAAATTTGGTTTAGTAACATGAAACCTGGGTTGTTAGTGCTAGACATTTTTGTGCCTTGGGTAGAATCCCTCATTGTTCCTCCCCATCTGGCTATCAGGGTATATTTGGCCCTCAAATTTGAGTTTTGTATGTGATAATGATGCAGTATTTGTTTTCTTTATGAATCAACACTTGTGACCCTGTAAGAAGTGGGGTTGATAGACAAAAGAGAGCAGAATTGATGGGATGAACTAGAGCAGGAGGTTTTTTTTTATCATTTAGATTTGCCATTCTACTGTGGGAGTTTGGAACAGTCACTTTTGGCCATTGCTGGCTGTGCATGACCCCATCATACATTGCATTTTACATGTTCTCTATCCCCTAGGAATTTCAGATGAACTAAAGTTCATAATATTTCTGAACGTGAAATTAATAAGACGTAGTTCCTGGCATAAAATGTTTCCCCCCTCTCTTGCAGCATGAAGCTTGCCTGAAAAAGCTGTTGAAAGTGCTGGAATCATGCATTATAGATAGTTTGTTTTCAAGTTCTGCATATAAAGACACCACCATGCCTCTCTCACCATTAGATAACAAGTGAGACCTAAAATCCACTGTCCATTACATGTTATGCTGCTGATGTTTCCATTAATTTAAAACTACTGAGATTTCTTTCATCCATTATTTTATGTAATTCATATTGAGTATGTTATTTTTAGGGCTGGAGAAAGAAGAAAAACTTCCACATATAAGAGCATGATGAAACATGCTTCTCAGATCTGTTCAGTAGAGAATCTCTCCACAATGGGAAAGGCTAGCACCAAAAGCAGTAATCATCCTAGCTTGTGAGTTTTGTCATTTCCCTTTATCATTTCCTTCTGAATCTTAACAATGAGGAGGGTAAACATTTCCCTGTAAACATTTTCCTTTTTAGGTAATTGGAAGTCTTACTTTAAATATTGCAATTCAATTAGATGTGTTCATCCTGATTTATCTACTATGACAGCATTCTGATTAATTTTTTTTTACTCTGACAGGGTTACTTCATCCAAGATGGAGAGCATGCTAGATACTTTACAGCTGATCAGATCTGCAAGGTCTTCTTTGGAAGGTGAGTCTCATTGATGGCCTGAATTTGATGTTGATATATGCAGTGCTCCAAAAGTCCTGCCTTATGGTTTATATGACCACATCAAATGTTCATACTAGGTACTGTTAAGGGTTTGACAAATGTGGACACAGTGAGGAAAGTTGTCACACGTGTGAGGGTCTCTCCAGTGTAGAGAAAATAAATCCCCATGAGACAGGACATATAGACCACCTGCTATACTGAAAAATATATTCCATATTTTTAAGAATGAGCTCTTTGCAGGGGCCGTATTCACGAAACTTCGTAAGTCCTCGTCTCATTCTTACGAACACTGTTGGTATTCACGAAACTTCATGGTGATGATAATGAGCCAGCGAACCATAACTGAGCTCGGGAGCTACTGAACCAATCGCTGAGTAGAAAACAACGTGGTTCTCACGCTGGCATCATGACTCACGAGTCCCCATATCATAGGAGCCTTCTGCAAACTTTCTGTGCATTCCGTGCCGTTTTTTTTACTCTATCGGGAAGTTTTAACACAACTGGAGATCCTGTCAAATCTTCAAAAACACCCTAAAAGATGGTACCCAGTGAATCTCAACGTAATAAAAACTACCTCAAGGTTTCAGAAATACCCAAGGAAAAGATCTGAACACATTATCAACGTTCGTATCATGGAGAGTAGAGGAGAAAGTGGTCGACGACCGAATTTCACCAGTTAGAAAATTGGGATGCTCATTGAAGAAGTCGAGCGAAGGAAGAATGTCTTGCTGAAGAAACTCAGCTCAAGCGTTGTAGGAAAAATGAAATTGCAAGCATAGGATTTAGAGACTGAGGTGGTGAGCTATCTCTCCTCTGTACGGAGAACTGCTAAAAAAAGTAAAATCTAATTCATGGACCTGAAGTGACGTGCAAGGCAAAAGGGGTTAAGTTTCTCAGGTAGAGTGGTGGTAGATCTTTCCCACTGTCCGGTCTCTGTCAAGAGATTTTTCAATAATTGAGCGGAAAAAGAGCTTTGCTGGCGCATTATCATCTTACTTTTCTGACACTGGATGAATGTGAATAACCTCAACCTCCGAGACAAAATCTTGCGAATCCTGTTTGCATATATCCTGTTAACCGCCAAGTGGGAATGAACCTTAGCTTAATTGAGACACCCAATGAAAGAGAGTTCCACAGATTCCCTCGACATCGTCATTGTGGCCACTTATGATACCTCGGGACCATTCGTAGACTTGCGAAGAAAGATACGAACTTTTGTGCTTTTGTGAATACCAAAATTAAGCAGCATTCTTACGAACTGCGTACGAAGATCGTACAAACATCTTACGCAAAAGTGCTTCATGAATACCACTTATGAACTTCGTACAAACTTTGTAAGAATTTCGTGGCAGGAGAGGTTTCATGAATACCACTTACGAACTTTTCTCTTCTTACAAAGAAAAAGTTCGTAAGAATGTTTCGTGAATACGGCCCCAGGTTCAAAATTCTGGTTTTAGTTATGGGAATGCCTTACTTTTCTCTTCAAAGTTTGCCTCCTTTGAAAGGTCAATAAGAATGGAAAGAACCTGAAGAGAAGGAAAATTGTCATCCCATGTAAGAATCTCTATTCTTCCCATTTTTATTTTTTCACTTTTCCCCATAATGAGGCATCCAGAATATTGCAGGGAGAGGAAGCATAGAGGTGTTGCAACTGCCAAGGTGCAGTTTGAAGTTGGGCAGCTGTTTGAAGCACTCGAGGAGCAATGGGTCTGACTTTAAAGTGTAACGCATGCTGCTGTGCCATGACATTATGTGCCATGACGAGACAGTTCTGTGATTCTTTTAATTTTTTTTGCAAAATATTGACAGGATTGTTCTTCTTCATCCTATTCTATCATCTTTTGAGCTCTGTAATGCAAATGAAAATGCCTTTCTTTTGGAATATGGGAACATTACCAGCAATAGTATTTCCTTTTGTAGGGCTTTCTTTGCTATTTCATGTTCTGTTTTTATACCTCATTCATAAAAACATTTTATGCTGATGTTGAAACTCCTTACAGTTGATATGTACATGGAAATTCTTGATATTTGGGCATCCTCTGTGTAGAGGAGGACTTATTTCTTAAAGTCATATGCCCAAAGCTCTATGGGTGGAATTTGTTCAATGGTGGAATAGACTATTATGTGAAATGTTGAAAAGAAAGGTCTTATTCTGCATTCTTTTGTATTTATGAGGTTCTGTTTTTCTTCCCATGCATTGGTTTAGCAAAACTTGGAAGTATGGTTTTACCTTTTCTTGAGTGAATTGTTACAAAAAGTTTTGGAAAAATATGGAGTTTGGTAAAATTTTGTGTCATCGTAGGTCTCTTGCTGTAAATGAACAAGTGAGGTTGCTTTTAAACTTTTTTTTATTCATTATGCTCTTAATTAAAGTTTGTTAAATTGGAAGAGCTTGCCATTGTGGAAATTCTCTGAAACCAGGATGTCTCATTGAGTTTAACATTGATATAGTGTTAGGACTAAGCAGGAGGGATCAGTTTCAATTTAAAAAATTGAAACTGTTAAAAGAACTGACCATGTAAAATCAGTAATATTATGTACATAGAGGATGTTAGGTGGTATAAGTGGTTGGGTGGATGCCTGCCCACACGAACTATCCCATCACTTGTTTCAAACAATGCTTTCCTTCCCCATAAGACTGAATACAAGAAGTACTCATTTCGTGATGTGACTTTGCATTTTCATTCCTGATGGTTTTTTATTGTTCTTGAAATTCTTCTGATCGTCTCTCAGGTATGAATTGATGAGTTATTGTCACTGGGCTATGCAAAGTTGAGTAGATACAACCATGGCAATGCAGCCTGTGTCGACTCTCCTGAGGGAGAGAGATGTAGATGGAGGAGGGGAACCCCATGCCAAGACCAGAGATGACTGGAGGAAAGCTAAGGAGCTGGAGGAGGCTCGGAAGGTGGGCATCTTCTCGACATGATATATGCTCTTTACTGTAAAGCATGATCCTCAACGTTGACTTTTTTCTTTGGGCTAATAGGCAGGGACAGCTCCTGCAGCTGTGGATGAGGAGGGCAAGGACATAAACCCTCACATTCCTCAGTACATTGCCTCTGCTCCTTGGTACTTTGGTTCCAGGGGTCCGACCTTGAAGCATCAGAGAGTCCAACCAGAGACCCTCCCCAGTTACAGTGGCATTACTGAATGGTATAAGCGAGGGGTGGATGTTGTAAGTCTTAGTTCATATCACAAAATACATGCTACATTATTCAATCATGCATTTAACTTGACACATGCCATTCTTTTCAATTTCAGAACAAAATAGCCACCAAGTACAGGAAAGGAGCCTGTGAGAACTGTGGTGCTCTAACACATAAAAGAAAGGACTGTTTGGAGAGACCAAGAAAAATTGGGGCCAAGTACTCAGGTTGAGTTGAAATTTTACATATATGGTAGACCTCTTTAAACTAGAATTTATAAAATTAGTGGAAGTCACAGATATGCCTTCATTTTCTTTCAACATAGGAGCCATGATAGCTCCAGATGAACATGTTCAGCCAAATCTGAATTTGGACTTTGATGGGAAGCGAGATAGATGGAATGGCTATGATCCTTCTGAGCACCATCGTGTTATTGAGGAGTATGAGAAGATAGAAGAAGCCAAGCGACAGTTGAAGGGTGAAAGGCTCAGAAAGGACATGTTGGAGGGAAAGATAACCAAGGTTTGCTTTCCTTCATGTGAAATTCTCACTCTTAGCAGTGAGGGTACGATTGTGTTTGTTTTCTGTACTCAGGATGACATCGATGAGGAAGAAGATGAAGACAAGTATGTGGATGATGTTGATATGCCTGGAACAAAGGTGGACAGCAAACAACGAATCACAGTGAGAAACCTGCGCATCCGTGAAGACACAGCCAAGTACTTGAGGAATCTGGACCCCAACTCTGCCTACTACGACCCCAAAACACGTTCCATGAGGGATAATCCTTACGTGAATACAGGGAAGAATGCTGAGGAGTGAGTATTATCCCATTCTATTCATCTCCTCAGGAATTTAATTAGACATGATGCTGTATAATAAAATGTTGTGTGCTTTTGAAGGGCGGATTATTCTGGAGAGAACTTTGTGAGATTCACTGGTGACACTCAGTCACATGCCAAGGCCCAACTTTTTGCCTGGGAAGCAAGTAATCGTGGGGTTGATGTCCATGTCCTTGCTGAACCAACAAAACTTGAACTTCTCAAATCTGAGTATGAAAAGAAGAAGGATGAATTCAAGACCAAAGTCAAACGTAAATCTGGACTCAATTCAGTACCTTGTGCCAACTTGCTTTATCTTCAATGGTCAACAAGCTTGGATTTGCAATTATTTCCCCAGAGAGCATTTTGGACCAGTATGGAGGTGAAGAGCACCTGGATGCACCACCAAAGTCCCTTCTTTTGGCTCAGAGTGAGGATTACGTGGAATATTCCCGGCATGGCAAAATTGTCAAGGTTGGTTTTGTTCAAACTCAACCCATCTTCTCTTGTGTTCTTCTCTCAATTCTTGGATTTTGTGTGACAAACATTTAGGGTCAAGAGAAGGAAGTGATTCGTTCTCAGTATGAAGAGGATGTTTTCATCAACAATCACACCACAGTCTGGGGCTCTTACTGGAAAGATGGACAGTGGGGTTACAAGTGCTGCCACTCCTTTGTCAAAGTATGAACCAATCATTCATACACATGAAGGCATATTCAGTCTGGTCAAGAGATCCATGATCTTGTGTTTACATTTTAGAATTCATATTGCACTGGGTCCAAAGGTCGTGCCCTTGAAGGGTCATCTGAAGTCCTTGCTTTGGGTTCTGTTGCTTCCTCAACACATGTCAGTGTTTTTCATCTTATCTTTTCATTCTCATATTTGAAGCATGAAATGAATACAAAATAATATAGCAGTTGCTTTTCACCTTTAGGGTAACACTGATCCTAAGAAAGAAAATACAAAGGGGAAGGAGGGTAAGAAGCAGGAGCAGAAGAAGAAAAAGAACAGGAAGAAGAAAGATGACCAAGAGGACTCAAATTCCGACACCAGTGATTCTGATACTAGTGATAGCAGCAGCAGTGACAGTAGCAGCAGTGACTCAGAAGATGAGGAGGCTATCAAGAAAAAGAAACTTGAGCAGGTTGAATTCTGTTCCTATTTTTAATTTGTCCTTTGTCCTTGTAGATCGTTTAGTGATGACTGAATGTATGTCTCTCTCAGGCCCTGATTCGTGAAGAGATGATGCAGGCACAAGCTGACAATCTTCTCTCCATGGAGGAGAGAAAGAGACCATATAACAGCATGTATGAGGCAAAGGCTCCCACAGAGGAGGAGTTGGAAGCATATTTCATGAAGAGGAAACGAGCTGAAGATCCCATGGCTGACTTTTGCAAGTGAGTCCCCATTCTGTTTCTCCCTTTCATTTACCCTTCACAGTAGATGGAGTTGTTCTATTTTAAACCTTATGATATGGCTTGCAGCCATTTTTCATTTGCTGTGAAGAGCTATTGTTTCATGAGTGATGCATGGAGATAGTACAAGAACATATTTTTTTTCTTTTACTGCAGGTGAAGGAGCATTAAAGGGATACACAAAGAAAGAATTATCATCCTTTACAATGTGACGGACAATACATGAGAGAGGAAATGCCTTTTTGAGAACTTCAATTGAAGAAATTGATTTATTCTCAAGTTTTCATTCAGTACACTATTGGAGAAATGCAAGCCTTTCCCTTATCATTGTTGATTCACCAACATGTTTTTGCCGTCTTGTTGGTACCAAAGTAATTTATATAAACAGGACTTGGCATGGTAAGAGGCCTGAAAATGCTCTTCATATAATTTTTTGGTTGATGAATATGGAATTGAATCACTTCATATGCAGCTGAAGCCAAAGGACAGGAATCATGCAGGTGAAAAGTGATCTATAGTCTGTAGATATGGAATACAGACAGGAGTTAGTACTGCAATTGCCAGCATATTGTGCATGTGGACTGAGAACTTGAAACTCTGGAATCCTTGTGAGACACAAAATTTTGTGGATTTTGAAAGAAAATTTTCAAGAAGTTGCTGTTGCCTCTGTTTCCATTTGAGCTTTAGTGACATTTTTTTCTCATGCATTCTGAAGAGCAATCAGAGAATCCTGAGAGTTATAACTTGTGAGATGGAGTAAATTATTGCCACCTCAGGAGTCACTTGCATCTCCATTCTCAATGATTGGTCGAGTACTAACCTTCCCTTCCAGCATACATGTATACAATGAACCTGAATTTTCTCAAGGAACTAAAAAGGAACAACCAGATCATCAAAGTTTCTTTATTCCCCTGGTAACATAGGAAAAGCATTATGAGGGGTGACTACTGCAATATTACTAGGACTTGAGACAATCACTTTCTGTTTTGCTCTTTGTATGAGATACAAGACCAGATTTGGGCTTCCTGGACCTCCTCTTGACTAGCCTGAAAAGAATAAGGTGGCAAGACATGTTTCCTGTACCTCTTACATACTAAATGCAAGAGTTGACCAACACATCCATGCAAAATGAGGAAAAAAAACAGCCCAATGACAAGAGCCCATCCAGCATGATATGATTACCTGTCCCAGGTAAAGAACATGAGATATTTATGTATCTGTATTGCACTGAATACGTAAATAAAGACCCTGCATCACAGAAGAACCTTACCTGCTCTTCCAGCCTTTGGAATAAAGTCCAATATCAAATCAAGACAGAATACATACACCTAACAGACAATGACTTACAATGCATATAATGGTGTCAAAAACCAATTGATGGCCAATAATGGCTGCAATATACCTCAATTGACTAAACACACTTGTTTTCCTCATTGAGAATTGTTCCTTCGTATCACAGACANAGGAGTATTATCCATATTGGGAGATGCGTTGGCTTATAATATGGAGATTTGGTTCTTCCTTCATCCATCTGGGCTTCCATGACTATAGCCAACAGTTCAGACCGAACATTGAGTTTACATCCAATCTTCTGGACGACCCACATCTCATTCTGGGACACTTGACATAACTTATCTTCATCTCTTCCCAAGAATGCTTTCTTAGGCCTAGGCCCACCTCCGGTCCATGCGTGGAAGCCACCAATCGCCATTCTCCATTGTTGTAGATCTATTCCCATATTAATCCCTTCCCAGTCCTTCTGGCCGGTCCCCGGTATATGATCGTTACCACGTTGGACTGGTTGGAGCTCTATGTTCAACAATAATACGCCTCAATGCAGCATGGGCGGTGGTTTGAGCGTGTACAATGAACGCCAAAATTGCTGCAAAAGAAAGACCCCGGAATCGGGGAAATACGGGCAGAATCAGGTAGTCCAATGTATCGGGATTATGGTCAAATCACGTTCAAGTCAAATTTAAAAAGAGAGCGATCATGAACAGGCTGCCGCCATGACACTCACCAGCAGGGTTGTCCTCGACTGAGAACTTGAAACTCTGGAATCCTTGAGACACAAAATTTTGTGGATTTTGAAAGAAAATTTTCAAGAAGTTGCTCTTGCCTCTGTTTCCATTTGAGCTTTAGTGACATTTTTTTCTTATGCATTCTGAAGAGCAATCAGAGAATCCTGAGAGTTATAACTTGTGAGATGGAGTAAATTATTGCCACCTCAGGAGTCACTTGCATCTCCATTCTCAATGATTGGTCGAGTACTAACCTTCTCTTCCAGCATACATGTATACAATGAACCTGAATTTTCTCAAGGAACTAAAAAGAAAAATCTTGTTGGTCTAGTAGTTTCAAAGAAATAAGGGGACCATTGTATCCTTTTCGTAATACTCCCCACTGATGACGTTATAATGATCCTGAACTCTGTTAGTGAAAGACAAAACGAGAAACATACTCTATCAAGACCAGATTTGGGCTTCCTGGACCTCCTCTTGACTAGCCTGAAAAGAATAAGGTGGCAAGACATGTTTCCTGTACCTCTTACATACTAAATGCAAGAGTTGACCAACACATCCATGCAAAATGAGGAAAAAAAACAGCCCAATGACAAGAGCCCATCCAGCATGATATGATTACCTATCCCAGGTAAAGAACATGAGATATTTATGTATCTGTATTGCACTGAATACGTAAATAAAGACCCTGCATCACAGAAGAACCTTACCTGCTCTTCCAGCCTTTGGAATAAAGTCCAATATCAAATCAAGACAGAATACATACACCTAACAGACAATGACTTACAATGCATATAATGGTGTCAAAAACCAATTGATGGCCAATAATGGCTGCAATATACCTCAATTGACTAAACACACTTGTTTTCCTCATTGAGAATTGTTCCTTCGTATCACAGACAACATCAGAGAAAGAACATCTTGGGATATGAGACCAAATTGGGAAGTACATGTATTGGAGATGGCAGTTCAAAGTTTCCATCAGAATGAGTGGCAGGAAGTACTCTTTGTACATGAGCACAAAGGTGGATTAAAAAAAAAAGGCTTGAACCACAGCTTCATATCTAGGAGTTCAACCCAGTTTAGTAGCTGAAATAGAGTTGGAAAATGACAAGACTTTCAAGGTTTTCTCCTGGGAGAAGGTGGGGGTCGCATAACAGTGCAGTTGTATGATGGAGATGCAATTCCCTTTGTTAGGGAACCTTCCACTACCATGTTGAATTCATGGAGGGTATTCAGGAGTTTCTGCAGGAACTCTCGCAGTTCTGGATCCCGAAGGAAGCAGTATTCTTCAAACATTTGACTTGTGGGTGGGGCTTCAGCCAGGGGATCCAAGAAACATGACAACAGGTGGTCCCTGTATATGAAATTTCATCAGTACTTTAAAATACAAAAATACTGTGCATAAGAGAAAACAACCAACAAAAACATTTTCATAAAATAAAAAATGCTGCTTGTACTGACCGAACAGAAAGGACAATGAAGAGCTGAAAGCGATCATCCTTCCCAAGAGTGGATGAGGCTTTACCGATTCGGTCCACCAAAAGGCAAAAGGACTTGATGATGCGATAATGCTCTGGATTTGTGGGACGTTTTCCTTCGGCCTTGTTCTGCTTCACATTGGTGATATAAAAAGCTTGTACTCTGACTGAAAACAAGATAGATGAAAATTGGTGTTGTTAGTTCCCATTTTCTTTCTCAGGCACAAAATACCCTACATTCATCTCACCAAGGTAGTCCCACAAATATAGGTTTCGGCTGAAAAAACGCGAAGATTTGAATCCAAAACCAAGCACTTGTTCAAGGGAAGGTACAAGTCCTCCATCCCCACACAGAAGTATGGTGAGATTTCCACGTTCCTTTTCTGCCTTGTGAAAGTGTTTGACCAGAGAATTCACAGCATCACTCAGCATATTCTGCAACTGTCCGACAGTGCTGCGACGGGAGACGGAGGGGCTTCGAGGCCTTGATGGGGGTCCTCGGCAGGATTCCACTATGTTGGCATCATTTGCTGCCAGAGGCATCAGTTCTCCCACCAGCAGACGCTCAATGGAGCCATCATCCACATTACGACCAAGCCACCGCCCACAAGGGAATCTATGTAAAAAGGATTCATGTGGATGAAAGTTTACAAAAGGACAACAGATTTGGATAAGAGTAATCAAACTTGCTTGTAAGTGTGGCCAGTGACTTCATTGCGGACTATGACATGTTCCACCATCCAGTTTGGGGACATGCCTGAATCATCATGACCAATACTCAATGTTGATAAGATTCCCAAATTCTTGTGCTGCAAGAAATAATAAACATAAATAAAGGATGCCACCTCATCCAGATTACTGTGAAGAAATGTTAAAATTTTTTTCTTCCAATAGAGAAAGTCTTCACCTGGAAAAACATCTGGTTGGATCCCCTGGGGACCTGGATAGGTTTTGTTTCCCCAAGTGTGCCGGCAATTCGCACCCATACGTTTGCTGTAGTAGTGCTTGCACTCATCTTCCTTGTTGGGATGATTATCACTTGATATGGTATCACTGGAGAACAAAAAATATCAAATAAAAAAATTCAGTTTGAAAGGCAGAAATGAATGCAGCAATCAAAGAATACAATCAATTCACCAGTGTTATGAAAAGTGTTGGTGAAGCAGAAGAAGTCAACAGCATTCAGAGTTAGAAGGTGATACAGGAATTGTTCCCGTTCGTCATCACAACGTAGAAAGGCATAGCGTTTGTATGAACCCCTGTCACAAAGAAATAATTGATTGAGGGAAACATCCTGGATATGACTTTGAGATAGACAAACACTGGAGAACTGGAGCTTACCTTAGGAGATCCTGGTTTGAGAGCAGTTCCCGAAAGTGTCGTGACAAGAGCTTCTTTTCGAGGGCTAGGCGAATCCATGCCCTAGCATAACCTATTGGTGTCTTGATCTCCTCCATGCTTTGCACATTCCTGAAAGTCACAAAAAAACCATTACAGGGATTGGAGAAACAAGCTGATAAATGAAATGATATTTCTGGATAACAAGTTCATAAAAGCTTACCTCATATCAAAGGTGACAGAAATGGGAAGCTTTCTGAGTACTGAGGGCTCAGGAGATTGCCCACGAGATCGTCGATCAAATGAGATTCTCCCCTCAGCTCTTGATGTACTTCTTGGTGTGGGAGGTGCTGAGGGAGAACGTCCTGTGTTGCCTCGACCCCATGTCCCTGTCTCTCCACTGTAATCCCCTGCTTCAGCTGTCAGTTCTATGACATTTCAAAGGAATTATCCCCAACTTCAGCATTCCTCTCTAATCCAAACATTAAGAATGAAAATTTCAATCCATGCAGAAATATGATCTGTTGTTCAGTATATTAATTGCATCAGTGGCACACTTCACACCTCTTAAAATTTGTAATATGTTTTAGTTAAATGATTTTGTCTGAAGTTCCCTAGGATTTCAAGTGACTATGCAGTTGCAAGAGTTTGCAGTCTCTAACAGATACTACTCCCTTTCCCATGTATAAGTCATGCATAATAGCCACAACGATTGCCTAATCACAACCTATACCTGTGTTGCCATTCTAAGGATACTGAAGATTAAATTAGACAGTAGTGCAAGGGCCTCAAAGGGAGGAACAAGTAACAACCTAAACCACAGGTATCTATGCTGATACAAGTACAGAGCAGTTGAGTCTGACAACATACGGTCGAGTCGGCGTCTCAGAAGCACCCAAGCCAGTGCTAGGGGAGGCAGCATGCATGAAACAAGAGAAGCATTAGGACAAGTTCTGAAAATTATAAGTAATCTTTCGTAAACTGATAGAAGAACGATCATGAATGAGCTAAGAGGAAGATGATGGGACCTGATAACCATGAATAATAATGGTGCAAGCAGCATCCATTCAACTGGACAAATACTATTGAAAAACATAGGCAATGTGTTGAAATATGTTAAATAAATTATTCTTAGGGTTAGAAAAAGGGTAAGAATTTTCATGACACAACATAACAAAAGAAGACTCCATGTATTCACAAGTAGGTTGGTCACAAATTCCTAAGAAGCCTTGAAAACTCACCTGGTGTAAGATAAGTTGGATCTACTCCCTGGATGGGATCTGCAAGCTCTTGAAAGCTGAGCAGATGGGACCACAGTGCTGACTTTCCCTGTAGGATAAAGCATATTTCCAGAAAAGGTCACCAAATTCACCCTTTATTTTTCCTGTCCCAAGGGAATTCGCCCCAGAGGAAGAAATCTCCACCTGTTTGTTCTGTCGTCCATGAGACCAGATTCGTTCTACAAGATCACAGAGACCAGCAATCAGAGTGTTTTCTTCCATTCCAATGAGAGACTGATCAGCTCCATGACCTAACTCCACTGCCTCCATGCCTAACTTCTCAACTAGGAGACGTTTTGTGCGACTCTTGCACTCCTGTAAAAAATATTTGATGAGGGCAAATGTTGTTAAGGATAAGTTCACTATTGCTGAAATTACCATTATAGGTATCCATGCATTCTTGAAAGCTGACATTCCTGAACTTACCTTAAGTAGCTGCTCAACAAATTTCCAATTGTTCTGGGCAAGAACAGCAGGACTCATGTCCTTGATGGACATGGACCGAGGTCGACTAGAATCTGGTGGGGGTGCTCGTCTTTTCTCCCTTCGTTTCACACCTTCTCCAGAACCCTCCTCTTTCCTCTTAACCCCTTTCTCCTTCCTTTCAAATTGTTGACATATAACATTGTAAACTATGGGAAAGCAAATGAGGGCATGAAACAGCAAGAAAAAAACTGATCTAGCTCACCTGATGGTGATGCTGAAAGCACCACGGGATAGGACCTCAGGGTCAGGCAGAGGGAAGAAAGTGCATGGACCTTGGAAACTCTTGCATTCCTCCAGTGGTGGTGCAGCTAAGCATAAAATCTCTTCACTTGATTGGATCCTTCGCATTAACAATTCCTCTGTCTCTTCAACAGTTGTGCAGTTCTCATACGATGTCCGGTGGGTGAGTCCATCTTCTTGAGTGTCTCTGGAGGAAGTGGATCATACAATGTTATGACAGTTCACATGGACAACACTTTTTCTACAAGAAAAGGGACACAAATACCTGAGAGCACGAATACGAGCATCAAAGAGAGCTACATTTAAGTCATCTTGCTGGTCATAGGATTTGAGAATCTTGCTATCAATGAGGGAAGTGAACATTTGAGTCTCCAAAAACCTAGACATGAATGGGAAGTGCTGGAGGGGCTGATCTGACAGGAAGGTAGCCTTGTCAAAGTTCTGGACCGACTCCCGGTTACTCAGCCAACTGTCCAAGTCCTGTAGGAAAGAGATACAAGCAGTGCTTAGACTCATCTCATCAATGATGAAATTTCCAGCATTTTGTAAGTACAGGAATGCGGTTTACCTGATTGGGTTGGATGACAAAGTGTTCATAAGGGGAGAACATGTGGATGAACTGATTGAAGAAGACTTCCCTGATAGCACTGTTTATCTTCAGATCCTTGACATAAGAACCATCTGGATCCCAATCAGATAAGCAGAGGTGTTCCAATCCTGTTTTCACACCTGTCAGAGGGATGACATCGATTTTTACCACCCAAAAATTAACTAAATGGATATTAAACAAATATTCTGTGAGTTGTGTCCAAAGTTGTGATTATTATTTTAAAAAGTGAAAGACCTAGTCATTTCTTGTCATATCTTATTAGTTCTACTCATACGTCACTCATTGGTATGAGGGAAATGCAAATCTGGAGAGACTGACTAGGACTACTGGAACAGATGCCAGCATGCTGTGTCATGATAAATTAGCTCAGGTGTGAAAAGAATATGCCAATTTTTCACAATAGAATGACATTCCAAGCTGAACATTAACAGAAATAAGCCAACTTTTGTATTCAAAAGAACTTTCAGAACATGTCACATCTGATACGGTCACAAAATAGCCTTGCTTTCCTTTCCATGCACTGCAATCACAGGTGACTCACACTAATAAGCTTTTGTTTCATCTATAGAATGAGTATAATACTAAATTTATGGGTTCCCTATTATTGAAGAAACAAGACCAATGGAGCAAACAGCTCACCTCAACTTTGGCCTAAAACCTCACTGCCTTTAGCCAAGTTTCATGTAACGTCACATGTTTCTTTACACATGGATATTGTCTAGCTAAAAAGAGAGTACACTAGATATAGGTTAGAATTTTCAGTCACTGCTTAAGGCTGATAGTCACAGCATTTAATATGTTGAATCACCATTTGTGATATTGTTAATCATATTTTTTGTATCAAACATACTCAAACTCTGGATGTCATATCCAACACTTTGGACAGGCCCAGCTCCAATCAGATAAGTTCCATTCAGATCCTCCTAAGAATACTGACTGACTAGACATGCTCATTCCATCAGTTATGGAAAGTCTTGTAAGATCCTTAGATATGTAGTTTAGGGTTGGAATCATGTACAACCATGCACATAATCAAGACCATTGGAACTAGGGATGCACCAATCCAGGATTAGCCGATATCGATACCGATCCCTGTGGCTTGGTATTAGCTGATAACGATAAAAAAAAAGGTCCCAGTGGCTGTCAGAAGTGAAACCACAATACAGGACCAGATCTTAGTAGGTCTTATGCTACCTTTGGCAGAGAAGGGAAAAAATAAAAAATCCTCAGACATTAATGACCCATTCAAAATTCCTGTAATTTATTTAGCTCTGGAGACATTTACATTGGCCAATATAATAGCTTCTTGAGTATAGGCTAACACTTCCCCTGCCATTCACCAGGCTCACTGAGAATATGTCAGATGTAGGTACTATGTAAAAAGGACAATCGGTGTGAAGAGGAGCAGTGGTAGGAACTATGTCTAATGTCCTTAAGGGATTAAGGAGTTGATGCAACTACAACCGGGATCAGTGCTTGAGGGGAGAGCCAGAGGCAGGATAGATGTGAGTATCAAGTGCACCTGCACAAACCAGTCAGTGCAAGAAGGCAGGAGACAGGACGGAAGGGGGAAAGTGAAGGAATGAATGCATACATCAATGACACTGGCCCATTCCATTTGTACAATGCCCTTCTCAAATCTCTTGCATTCCGCTTTAACCATGCCCAAGCTCATTGTCTATCAGTAGGAGATTAACAAGAACTATGATGGACTTAAGGAACCATATGCCATTACGAGTGGGTTTTTTTTCATGAGATGTTCCAAAAACGTATGCACTGCGCATCAAGTATGATGTGCGGCAAGGGAGAATCAGATCAGATTGGCCAATACCAATCCTGACCAATCCACTTGGTATCAGTCAATGCCAATACTTTGGATCGGTATTGGTGCATCCCTAATTGGAACCAGCATGATGATACTTCACTTGGAACCCTAGTAAAGGTTGGCAATGACACATGGTGTATCCAAAAGAATATTTGTGCAGAGCTCTAACCCCTTCCTCTGAAACAAACGCTAGTCAAAGTCCCAAGAAATGAAGCCACAAATCAAACCTACATTCCACTTCACAGGTATGAAATGTGCAATTTTTACTTGGTTAGGCCTCTCATAGAAAGGGGTCATAAAATGTTTGGCACAAATTTTCTATGACCTTAGAAATGAACTCTACTTTTGAAGGGAATTGCCATGATGATGTATAGTCATTCTGAAAGTTCCCTTTACAACTCTTTGAACTATTGATAAAGTTTCATTATTAGTAAAATGGGGCTTCAATCACTGAGGCAACTACATGTCTACCTGACTTTGCAGCAAGGGCCTGTACTCTTTGGAGAGTGTCAGAATTTTGTAGCACTGCATCCCGATTCCATGATGGTTTCCTTCTTCTATGTCTCCCATGAGCAGGACTTCTCTCATTCAGATTCCTTGGATAGATATAAGGGCAAATAAGTCAAAGACAGAAAATGAGAACTTTCCATACTAAGCCGACTGCAAGAAGATAATCATATATTATCAGAGGGGAGAGTCTATGGGGAGGCACTTGTGAAGCAGGCAAGCATCACCCCGAGCCACTTATGCCACTCACGCTTTCTCTGTGTTCCTTAGCTTTACTTTCTTAAACATAACACTTTAATTAAACCACATTCACCTCATTCCGTATTTGCTTCACCTTTCAGTTTTCAAATAAAACTAGTTAGTTAATACATGGCCCTATAGCTACATCAAAATTTCATTGTACAACTCCACTTCAAGTCTGAACAGAAACCTTACCAAAAAAAATTCATCAATGATTTTAAAAGCCTAACTTATTAACAATATAAAAAGAAATTCCCATTATCTCAGACACAATATCAGACCATACTTCCTAGAGAGTCTACCATTATGCCATATATCTCCATTCAACTAATCATTTTCATGAACTTTTAGAACATGCATCCAAAAGGGTGAAACCATCCTTCCTGTGGGTTTACGATGGAATTTTGCTAGTAAAAATTTCAAAAGCCAGTGATGCTGAAAGACAACAATGTAGATGCTATATAATGTCAGTTCTGCATATAGCTGGATCAATGCCAGCCAGAGTACAAAAAATATCAATATCAATTACACTCTGGTCATTGAATGACCAATGACCAGAGTGGTCACATAAAAATCACAACTGAATGCCAAGCTCATACCAAAGTCTGGAATGGTGCTAGGCAAACAAGAAAAATCCTTTGTCTTTTCATAGAAAACCTGGGTTTGCATCAGACTTAAACACTAGAGGGAATGCCTCAAATGTTGATTACATCTGCTGCTGTTATTAATTGGAGATTCAAACATATCTACCAATTGACTGTCAGCTTCTCAAAGTCAAAAGTTCTGGTTTTAGCTCTTCAACTGGCATGATATAAGGTATTAATGACCACTGAACTTGGCCACCAAGATTGACTGGTGCTGACAATTATACCAACAGTCACCAAAAACTGAATTTCCTTCTTGCTGAAGCTGAGTTTTGGTTCTGTAGTGAAAACTTTTTCTGTACTTCTACACCTTAACAAAAGGCAGCTCTTAATCAAATCATTTGTACATGTCTCATACATTCACCCAAGGGAATACTTTCCTTTTAATGTCACATGGGAAAGGGTGACTCATCTTCATACAAACTTATCACATGCATACTAAATGCTTTCTCTGATTTCATTTTATTTACAAGCACTAGTTCAGTGATACTCATTCATATACAAGAATCGCACAAAAATTTTTTAAATTCACCTTTATGAATTTAAGAAAAAAAAAAGGGGGGGGGATTTTTTGTGCTATGAATAATGATGGCAATAAAAGCATTTCATATTCTGACTCATATACTTATATTTATTGATAGAACTTCAGGCATTAACATGATTCTTGCCATCATTTCCTCTCTTGATTTGAAGTGCACCAGCTTCCTATTTTTATTTCAGTATGGAATGAACAAATGCCTGCCAATGAGAAGCCTCAACAATGAATAGAAAAGAAACTCACTTGTCCAAAGATCCCTGAATGCCATATTGCGATAAGATGGAATTGATCTCATGAATGAGCTGTTTTTGATGGGGGAAGCTTGGAATCTCCTCTGGTAAATCCACTCTTCCCTTGTCCACATACACCACACACAAATTGCACTGAAAAAAAAAAACAACTTATAGGCACCAATATTTTGAATTTCTGGTACCATATTAACTAGGGCTGTCAATTCAATTAATTTAATTGACCGATTAATCGATTAAAGTATTACTATATTATACAATTATAAGGGGAAAAAGAGGCATTCAGGGGGAGATTATGGAGTTGATTAAAATTTTATTTATTTTGACTAATTTTCCAATTTGTGATTAATACTTTAATCAATTAATTGGTTGATTAAATTAATTGAATTGACAGTCCTAATTGTATCTCATCTATTGTGTCCTGCCAGGATAGAGATTTGTCAGATTTTTAAGCTTCTTAACTTGTCATTTTTAAGCCTGCATTCTCACAAAGAGAAAAAATCTCATTATGCTTGCATGCATATCAGCCAGAGGGGGAAATGAGTTCATGTAAAAAGTTAAATTCTCAATTTAAAAAAACAAACAAAATTCACTGTATCAGGCTAGGTCTACACAAAAAGTCCTGATAGCATGAATCTCATCTGAGCCTTCATTCAAATCATATATGGGAAGTTTTTTTTAGAACTCTATAACTCTCCTGAGCAATCTTATATTTTGGCCATGGTATGTCTGTATGGTTTACCTCTCCAAAAGCCTGCTGTTGAGACTTGTGTGTTCCATGCAGTCCCATGAGGAATGGCACAGGGGCATCAAGGAAGTGCAAGAGAGAAGCAGGCACAATAGGGACATACACATGCTGCCACATGAAGGGAAATAAGACAGCTGTTGCACACTCTGCAACCAGCATCAGGCGGTACAGCTCTGAAATGACAGAATCTTGATTATTGTTTGATCTACTTCATGGATACAGAATGCATCACCAAGCACCAAAATGCTTCCAAATGAGCCGCTTGTAAATTAATATTTAAAAAATCACGTTATGAATTCAGAGCAACCCTAATATGAAATTCGGTTGCTTCAAAACTGATGTAACTATCTATGATGATACCATAATAACCAAGAATCATTTATATGGATGTCATTCAAAATGTTATTCGTTGTGTAATATAAATATTTTTCCAATTCTGAATCACTATAATTACATTAAGTGAGGATCTATTTATCATAAGGATGAGTGCCCTCTCCCTTCCATACAGCCTTAGCAGGTGCATCTTTTTTTTGAGAGGGACAAATATACAGATTATAAAGTCTGGAAACAATAGAAAATACTTGAAACTTTAACACTAGACACTTATAAATGCTTCAAATGTGTGCCCTGCAGTTTAACAACACAACAAAATCATTTCAATTCGTTCCTCTTTTGTCAAAGGCATACTTATATTTGGCTTTCACACCCTGTATAATATTAATCAAAGCTATGGTCAAAAGATAAGTGGAGGGGGAAGTGGGAATGGAAAATTTTTGAGCTAGTTGCTATCAAACCCATGTCCCATTCCACACCTCACTCTGCTTTATTATCTTATATTGAAAAGTAATGGGTGAGGGCACTGTTTCCCTATCACAGAGTTTATACTTGACCTTGAAAGACATCAAAGATGAATATTTCCATAAAATATGGACCCCTCTTCACTGGGGAAAAACCCCAAGAAGCCAGCAAAATTAAAGAGAAAAGGGAATAGAGGAGCTCAAAAGCTGGGATTTCCTAAGGCCACCTTTTCTTTCAGATGATAAGATAAAAAATATTGCAATAATGCATTCAGGGAAATATGATCATGCTTGGAAAGAATTGTAGTGCAGCCCTAATTCTAAGTAAATCACCTTTGGAGTAGAGAAGGACTTGGTTTTCCAGAAGAAGGCATGTGAAGAGCTGCAGGAAATTCTCAGTACCAAGTAGCTCAATAACCTCCCTGATAGGGAAGTCTAAGAGGGGAAGTTCACAAGCAGGATCTGGATAATGAAGCCGCAGAGCAGGAAGGGATTCAGGCAATTTCCAAGTAAGGCTTTGTCCTGGATGGGGTATGCTCACTTCATGAAGAATTGGGAAGATGAGTTTCTCTATGCACAGGTGGTCATTGAGGTCCTTCATCACTGATCTACAACATAAGTTGCATAATATACAATCTAATCAAGACTGATCATAATTTCTATTTTGAAACCATCTCACTAAACTTATGCATGATCAAGAGTATCAAGAGACAATCTTACTTTTGCAATGCAACAAGGAATTCTCTTGCAGCACGAGCAAAAGGTGTCTGGCAAATAAGGGCAATGCTTTTTGGAGCAAACAGAGTATCCTTTTCACGGTCATAATAATACTTCCCACTTCCACTAAGCTCATCCTGGTGCACAGAAAGACGAAAGTGTCTTGGCAGAGATCGGGAATTATGGGCTCCATCCAGTGCTGCTGCCTTCATCCCTGATCTACCTTGAGACATTTCTGCTAGATATATTCCCTGGGAAAAAAAAAGAGCATTTGTCATTACATGTCAGCATGTATAATCTCTCTGAGAATACATAGATGATTCTGTGGAACATCAAAGGTACCTGTAGTGCATATAAATCATTGCAGATATCTGCTTCGATGACTTCTTCAAAGAAGGTGAAAGAAAACCCATAATATCTTGATCCATCTTCTCTAGTGATGAGGAAAGCATGGAAATATGGATCAGCCTTCTGTTTTTGGGTTATGAATCTCATTCCATGAGGTAGGCACATCTACATGAATGAAAAAGAATCATTCAGATTTCAACCAAAGCATATGAATTTCTCTTGTGCAGTTAGATCAATTTAAAAAACAACTTGCCATGGAGATGGCATCTCGGTCAAATGGATTCCAAGGAACTGAATCAGGGAAATGTGCCAGTACTCTGGACTTGAAGGATCGCTCCATTGGGGAGCGATCAAAATTGTCTCCTGCAGAAAGAAAATGATAGACAGTTTCACAATATAGATAGTTTCATATTACAGAAACAGAAAATATTAAACTACATTCACTCACCTGCCAGTTCATCTGGTTCAAGGTTGCATGAAGGATTCAAGCCACAAATGACAAAATAATCAACAAACTTTGAGTATCGGTCTGCCATGGGATGAGCAAAATCCTACTGGACACTGTTGTAATAATTCATTCATTCATGTTATTACAGCACTCCACAACACCAAGTAATGACATGGCACATTTGTGCTGCATGTGACTTCCCTGCAATTGGTCAACTGCAGTTGGTCTACTTATAGACCTATGCATGACACTCACACCTGAAAGACAATTTGATCTGCCATTGGTATTAGGTTTACCCATTATAACGGGAGTATCATTCTCTTTGTGCATACCTCAACCACCTAGGCATTATGCATCCAATATGCCTCTCTATGGACATTTTATTCCTACCTTCATGACCTTATTCTGCTACACCCCGAAAACCTTCCTAGGGCCATCACCTAAGATCCATATGAGCATTGGGAGTCAGTATGGGTGATGAAAGTGAATGGCTTATTGCATGACCAGCTTCCATAACATTTTCACAAATAAGATTTGGCATGAAGGATGAAGATGCTTACAATGAACTTCAGTTTCAATAATGTAGAAACTTCATGTGTAATGGTCAGGATGTGTGCACAAAATGAATACCATTTATAACTTAACATTGTAATTTTATATATATAAGAGACTGTCAGGCACATGCACCAATTGACAGCAGAGCTACTAAGATATGGCAGATGGTTCCATTTAGCAGGGTAGCATGCATGCCAGTCATTTTTCTTTTCAAGTTGTGACTGCAAGTCGGCCAAAGAGAGCAGAGAGAATCATGTTCCTCTGTTAAACTTTAAAACTTGGTACCAAGATTATAGGATTTTAAAAATTTAAATAGGCCCACCCTGGCTTAATACAAACAGGCCTATAGATATGCAATTTGCTAATTCACAACCCTTCACCCCCCTAGTCAACATCAACATCTGCCCTAGTGACTCCATTCTGGTGACAGCAATTTTGGCTTTAAGCTCAACATACACTTAAAGAGTTTGACTGAACTCCTAATATAAATCTAAGGTTAATTTTTTAGTGAAACTCTTTGTAGCCTTTGTGGTACTCTTGTAGCAAGTTTACCTAATTCATTTTGCACCTCATCTTGAACACACAAATTGATTATGAAATTTAGGTTGAAACAAACCAAGTTAAAGCCCTCCTGCAACTCAAGTCATTTTTTGGTGTGTTTTATTTTCCTGAGTTCCAGGCCAGTCCCTTTTTACTCCTGTGGAAAATTTGGATATGAAGGCAACTCATTTGGTCTATATAGTTTGGGAACTGGAAAGCCCAAAAAAAAAATGGGAGGGGGGGTAAAATAAGTTGTATGTAGGCTGATGAAATGACATGTCAGATTCATGGTCATTCCAAAGGGGAATATTCCATAACAATATGATCAACTGGCAAGTCTAAAAGATTCAGACTAAACCTGTCTTAGATAGCTCTCATTCTATTATTCATAAGCCTATCCATTCAACTTGTCTTTCACTCCACTGACTAGCTTTCAAGCAGTTTTCCAGGGCTTCAGTCTATCCTGACATATCTAAGAAGAGGTTGTATTAACTCATTCGCTGCGTAGTAGAATCGATATAGGTTAGACAGGACTGGCTGCTGGGTGAAAAGAGTTCACCACCACAGCAAAATAGTTAAGATAAAAAATGCCACTGCTATTTGCATCAATTATCTCTACAAGCTGAAAGAAAATATATCATGCTCCCATTTCCTCTCTCCTTATCGAAGTTGTGGAGCCCTCACATCCTCACATGGATCCTACTACAGGGGGCTCAAAAAGTAGTTCAGGGATTTGTCTTATTGAATCATTTCTGACACTGGTGATACTATTTTTCTCTCTTTTGTAGGCTGTAGAGTGGACCTTGAAGTTTTATCATGAATTGTTGGAGAGTCAAACAACAGCGGCAATTATGGATCTTTCCTTTTCTAAAAGACACTCCATTTTTTAAGCTTAGTGCATCTACCTACTGTAGACAATTTGTTATTTGTGAAGCACCTTCTAAATATGTTATTCAATAGTGTGTTGCCCATTTTTGTGCCAAAGGTGGTGTTGCTAATCAACCATGACCTGGAAGACCTCACAGCAGCCTGAATATCATATACTGCAAACCAATTAGCATGAGTCAACTTTTGCTAGCGCCAACAGGAAAATTGAATGGATGCTAGCTTTGATGCTAGTTGGATTGAATTTAAATGGATTTTTAATTATTTTCTGACCAAGAACAACTTACACGAATCATGCCTGCCAAAGGCTCTTGGAATTGAGTACACTGATTTCATTCCATTCAAAAGAAAGAAAAGAAGAAAAAGAATGAAGCAAGCCAATTGAGGCCATTTTTAAAGAACATAACCTCTTAATACTAGTAGTAACCCATACAGAAAAATCATGCATGATTTTTAGGGTTGGGTTTCAAAAAAGATGCTTGGCAAGATCTCGAATTTAATTTCTTGCTAAGTCTTGATAAGATGTCCTTCACCTTAAACACCCTGTCAAGTGGGAATATTGATTTATTTTTTAGGTTTATTCTTTCCACAGGGCCATTTCTAGGGGTAGGCAAAGCGAGCAATTGCCTGGGGCACCAGTGGGATAAGAGGGGGATTCCATTGGAACTCCTTGCCCTGGGTGCCAACATGCCTAGAAACAGCCCTGTCTCCCCTCATTTTATCTGGTTGTGACATAGTTGTCATCTTGACAAGATCTTGCTTTTTTCTTGCCAATATTTTTTCCTACCAAGCCCAACCCTAATAATTTTATGAGAAATGGGCATATATGATATATTGGACATATAGGGTCCATTATATATGATGTTATATGAACATATATAAGAAAAAACATCTGATCACATATTCTTATTGAAACAATGAGTATATGATCATATATGGCAAGGTCATTTAAGAATTTTTTAAAATCATGTACGTGAAGATATAGAGGAGCAGATAAGATATTTGTATGACTTAGTATGTCTACCTAGTACATAGAGGGGGGCATGTACGTCACACCTTATAAGAGACATGACCAAATCAAGTATGAACCATACATGAAATCATGTTACTTTCACAGGTCTCTCCAATATGTCAAAAATGGTTTGAGGAACAAAGCTGAGAATTGGTACTTCATCTGGCCATTCTGTGAAAATACAAAAACCATAAACTTCCAACACAGCACAAGTACATCCCAAAGATATCACATGGCCTTTTTGTGAAGCCTAGGCGCATTCTCCCCACCATTTTTCTTTTGAATCTCCCCTTTTTGTGTTCTTGACTAAGCCTCAGGAGACTATGCTCAAGTGAAAATTTCCAGTATTGCTATGGTTATACTGGCATTCCTACTCAGGGCATGACTTATGATCCAATATTACAGGACCAGAAATTTTGACATTTTCAACTTGGTGATCAAATAATCAGAAGCAAGTTGGAGGGGTGGCATGCTGAGAAGGAAGACAAATAAATGCAAAGTGGCTTGGCTGAGCTGATGGTACTTTCTGTTTCATTCATAGGGCATGTAGGACAAAGACTAGGCACTTTTGCTGATAGATGACAAGCAAATAGAAAATGTGAAAAACATTTCAAGCCAGTTAATAAGTATGATTTTGAGATACATACAATATTCATTCTTATAACTAACTTAAGCAGTAAAACTCTTCATCGTTGAATATATGGGCGGAAATGTTCATACTTCTGGATGAATTCACAATTGATTAACTGGAGTGAAAACCTGTTTCTTTGGGAAGAGGGGCACATAAAACTCCATGATGGCAAATACTGGTGCTCGATCTGAGCGATTTGCAATAATACACAGTTCAGCTCCTCCAACTGTTCCCTCAACCCTGAAAAAAAAGGAAATTGGGGGAGCTCACAGTCACTGCTACTATAACTAAGCTGTGGAGTCTGGAACTATATGGGGGTTTTCCGGTCGCAGCGTAACCACCAGGTTAAACTTCATCAAGCGCCATGAAATCTGCTCCACTCTCACTCATCTCCAACGGATACAATTTTGGGTGAAAGCAATCCATTCGTTTAGTGCAAGACTCCGCCCAGCCACGGCCTAGATACTACGCCCATAAGAGAACAAGCATGAGCTGCTGTAAGCTTCCATGCTCCGTAACAAGGATTAGGGGCTCCTGCGCATTTTTCTTGAGCTATGCTTCGGAAGAAACATGTGTAAGACTTGATATTAATGGCATAAATAAGTACAACCTCAGGGCAAAACTTAAATTTAAATTCATATAAACAAAGCATTGCGCTTTCAGGATACAATCTGCCGTATTTTTACGAGTTATCGACCTAAGGAGAGCACCGAAGACATGCATCCGTGATTATCCAGCTCGCGTGGTCTGTCTGTGGAGTCCTTCGCGGGTTGCGGGCTGACACGATTGGCCCGACTCGACTGCGGGCCGTTTAACCCTTTCATGCCTGGCGGGACTCGGGAGCCCCGTAACTTTCGTCGATATTCTAATCCTATGTACTGAATAATTTTTTTGTATATTTTTTTAATTATAATTTTAAAATAATAACTTTTTTTTTTACTTATGGACCTTGAGTCCCAGTCTGAAAAATTAGGAAAATTGTACTTCTGTCAAATTTTAAATGTGAATGTGAATGAAGATAATCTTGAAGAGTGTGTTGCTTATCTTGTGTTACAGTATTTTTTACTTGACTCAGACGCTCGTACTTGGGACGTTCCTCATGCATGAGTGTCGAAGTCACGCGAAAGTAATTGACTCAGGTGAAAAATACTGCATTTTCTTCTGGTTGCATTTTCAATAGTTGATCTTGAAAGCACTTCTGTTGGCATAAAGTATACTCTCCTCTCATCTAAAATGGTGTGTGCAAAAAAAATTATATTCATTCGATGTTGTTCGAAGATATGTTTAAGAACAAATAAACTGGGCACTCTTTCATTTGAAAAGTGCGAAGCAAACCAATCTCAACTACATACAGTATAAGAAAATTTATCATAGACGAATTACATCATCGAGACTGCCTGCCATCTGCGCTCAACCATGTTAAAGCCTCAGAAAACTGAGGGATGGGGGGTGGGGCAGACAGGATCGGCTTCAGGTTTCAGGAGACGCCTCCTCCCATCCAACATTTACACCTGTCAATACGAAGCGGAAAAGGTGCGGAATGCCTCTTAATATGGGCCAGCTTCGTCACTCCCGAGCACGCACATTCTTGGCGTTGCTTTCTCAAAAGCAAGGGCGAGACATGAAGATATCAGAACTACGTGAAGGTGGAAGACAATAGCCCCCCCCCCTAAAATGATGGGCTTCGTTGGAGCACGCCAGAGTAATGCGTCTGACGAGAAGCAGCGAGCAAATTGTCTTCACTGCTATTTTCGATACTTTAGCGTTGAAAAGTTATTGCGTTTGAAGCACTCGGTGACGTTTTAACTTGGCCAAATAAAGTTTTTTTTTATTCATTAGAGATTTTATGTGCAAAAAAGCATGGGGATCGCTCGATATCAGATGGAGATATTTCCATAAAAAAAAAGCCGGTACTAAAATTGTTTGGTATGCCTGCTACATTCTTGCAACAATCCAGCGGCGTAGCGTCGTAGCTTTTCTCTTTTCAAAAAAGGAAGCAAAATTAATATTGAAAAGACGCATGAAATGCAGAAAACTGTCCAGAGTTCCCATGCCCCACCATTTTTTCCATCCACGCATCCACGCTACGCTCATGGGGCATTCATACATACATACTAACCCCTCATAGAACGCGTCGCTGTCTCTTCTTTCATCTCATCATTAATATATATTTTTCATTTTGCCAAATTGCCTCCTAGACCGCACAGCAGCACTCTGTGGGCGGCACTTTAGGCACCCATGCCCTACTACGTGGTAGGGGATAACCAACCCCTTTATCGATGCTATAGCACGTCATTCTGGACAAACAAAGAAATAAATGAACATGGAAACCAGTAACGAACACTTGGACTAACTGTGATTTTTTTTTTTACTTGTCTGATCGGTCTGTAAATTTCAGCTTGCAATTGGGTTTTGGAGTCGATCCGGGCGAGGACCCCGCGGATAATTATTAAATCATGCCGTGCTGGACTCTAGTGGATAGCCGGTGAATTCCTTGATCAAGTAGCAGCGTGCACGTGTAGTCAATGCCATTCCCTTGTGGAGCCTATTTTAGGTTTTCCGTAGACTACATTTTTATTCATTTGAGTTCGATATCGCTCCACTTCACCCCAGCACGACCAATTATCACTTCCATCATAAGCCCTACGAGGCCTAACGTTAAGGCCCGACGTAGCCTTAGTCATAGACTTAGCCATATACCGCTCAGAAAAAGTCAGTAAAGTTTCCCCCCCCCCCCCCCTTTAATTGCTAGCATGATTTAGGGCTTAGTTTTCCAGGTTGAACGTAGGTTAAGCTTACTTAAGATACTTCTTGAGTAAATCAGTCCCTTTATCTAGCAGGTCAGGCTTAGGCCCCTCTCAAGATTGAAAAAATGCTGAAAACAAAAGTGTTCTTCAAGAAAACCAAGCGAGGCAGTGTCTTGAAAGTTGTCAGAGAACATTATCTGAGAAATGACATTTATTGTGGCTCATCTGGTTGCAGGCATTGTCAGGAGAATGAAAACTTTAAACCAGTTCTCATGCCAGACTCCATTTCAAAGTCAGACTTAGTGCCATTGCCACATTACATTATTCCAGACACAAATGTTGTGTTGCATCAGATAAGCATCCTGGAATCACCTGTCATTCATAATGTTATCATTCTATCAACTGTTCTTCAGGAGGTAAGGAATAAGAGTCCACCAGCCTATAAGAGACTCAGGGATCTCCTTGCCAATGAGAACAAACGATTCTATATATTTGTCAATGAGCATCATTTTGAGACTTATGTGGAACAGGAGCCAGGTGAGGAAGACAATGACAGGAATGACCGTGCTATTAGACGTGCTTGTTTCTGGTACCAGGAACATTTGACTAGTGTTCCTGGAAAGCGTAAAAGAGATCCCAATATTACTATAGTCCTCCTCACAGATGACAGGGACAACAGAGAAGCAGCCATCAGAGATGGCATCAAAGCCTATTCAACATCTGAATATGTTGAAAGTCTGAAGGGACACCCAGAACTCCAGGACCTTGTGGCAAAAATTGGGACATGCATATTCATTGACAACAAGAAATCAGTATTCCCTGATCACTTGCCTGCCTCAGTGGTACATGATGGAATCAAACAAAAGAAATACTTGCAGGGTGCATTCCAGGCCAGCAGGGAAAATTATCTTGAGGGGTTTGTTAATATTGAAGGAATGGAAAAGCCAGTTCTCATTCAAGGACTTTCTCATCTCAATCGAGCTGTTCATGATGACATTGTTGCAGTGGAGCTATTGCCCCAAAACCAATGGAGTGCTCCTAGTGGAATCGTCTTAGAAGAGAAAGTAGATGATCAGGGTGATGCTGTTGAGGAAAATGAGGTTGGAGAACCAAAGGATCATTTGTCAGAAGCTCAACCAACTGGAAAAGTGGTTGGAATCATCAAACGCAAGTGGAGACATTATTGTGGAATACTGCAGCCAAGCATAATCAAAGACAGGAATATGCATCTATTCATCCCAGCTGAGCGACGGATTCCCAAGATTCGAATCGAAACACGGCAGGCTGAGACCTTGAGCAAGCAGAGGATTGTGGTGGCTATTGATTCCTGGCCCAGAAATTCACGTTATCCTCTGGGTCATTTTGTTAGAGCCTTAGGAGAGGTAGGAGACAAAGCCACTGAGAATGAAGTTCTTCTCTTGGAACATGACATACCTCATAGCCATTTCTCAGAAGCTGTGCTGGCCTGCCTCCCAAAGCTACCTTGGGCAATCAGAGAGGAAGATATTGAAAAGAGGGAAGATCTTAGGCATTTGGTCATTTGCAGTGTTGATCCACCTGGCTGCACAGACATTGATGATGCACTTCATTGTAGGGAACTCACAAATGGAAACCTTGAAGTAGGTGTGCACATTGCAGATGTGACTCATTTCATTCGTCCTGGAACTGCGATTGATCAAGAGGCTGCTGCAAGGGGAACTACAGTCTATTTAGTGGACAATCGCATTGACATGGTACCTGAACTTCTCAGCTCAAACCTCTGTTCATTGCGGGGTAATGAAGAACGCTTTGCTTTCTCTGTGATCTGGGAGGTGAATAAGAAAGCAGAAATACTATCAACTCACTTCTGCAAGAGCATCATATGCTCCAAAGCTGCCTTGACTTATGAGCATGCCCAATTGAAAATTGATGACTCACGCCTCAATGATGAAGTCACATGTAGCTTGAGAAGATTAAACAGTTTAGCCAAGATATTGAAGAAGCAGCGAATGGACAAAGGAGCCTTGATTTTGGCCAGTCCAGAGATCCGTTTTGAAGTAGACAGTGAGACACATGATCCAATTGATGTTGAGGTGAAGCAGTTGAGAGAAACAAACTCCATGGTTGAAGAATTTATGCTTCTGGCAAACATATCTGTAGCTAAAAAAATTTTGGAAGATTTCCCTGAGTGTGCAGTGCTCAGACGCCACCCTCCTCCACCAAATGCAAATTTTGATCCATTAATCAAGGCAGCCAAGAGCCGTGGCTTCACTATTCGCATTGATTCAGGGAAGGGCCTTGCAGACTCTCTTGATGCAGCAGTTGTGCCAGACAATCCCTACTTCAACACCATGCTTCGTATTGTTGCCACAAGATGCATGATGCAAGCAGTTTACTTTAGCACTGGCACTGTCCAAGAAGAAGATTTTTATCATTATGGTCTGGCTGCACCTATCTACACACACTTTACCTCTCCAATCCGAAGATATGCTGATATATTGGTTCATCGCCTTCTTGCAGCAAGCATTGGGTCTGATTCTACCTATTCTCACTTATTAGACAAGCACACAGTTCAGCATCTGTGTAACAATCTGAATTACCGACACCGCATGGCATTGTATGCAGGTAGAGCTTCAGCACAGCTCCACACACGACTGTTCTTCAAGGATAGGATTGAACAGCAAGAGGGCTATGTCCTCTTTGTTCGCAAAAATGCTCTGGTCATTCTAATACCCAAGTATGGACTCGAAGGAAACCTGTTCCTGAACAGGGATTGTGAAGGAGGTACTTCAGTGCAGTTCCAATTCAATGAGGAGGAACCATCTCAGACATGTGGGAAGGTCACATTCCGTCTTTTTGATAAGGTGATTGTCCAGATCAGCATCAATGCCTCAAATGTCCAGCATCAAAAGATGGTGCTGAAGCTTGTTCATCCTACAGTCCCTGGCTTCAGTGTTCCATCTCAAGATCTCTCTAAGGGGGATGTTTCAGTATCCAGCAGTGAGGAAATGGCAAAGAAGAGAAAAAAGAAATCTTGATGTCATTGTTGACAATTGACAATTTGCTGAGATATGAATGGTTTTGTTTGCAGCTTTTTTTATCTCAAATTTTCATCTGCATTCTTTCCCCAGAGTAATAGGGGAATATGGGAAGACAAGGTTGAAATTCACTTAAATAACGAAATAAGGTAGAGAAAGCCAAAAACTCATATACACCCCAGCTCCCATGATTAGAGAAAACAAAAGTTATTAATTCTTTGGCATGAAGCACTGAAGTTATATAATAAGACCAGTGGCGTATTTTATGGGGGGCAAAGGGGCGACTGCCCCTATTGGCCACTCTTAGAGGTTTTATTTTTTATTTTTTCCTGCTGATATCTCTTGGGTGGGGTTTAGCGGGCTTCCTCCCCTCCCTTGACTCTTCATCCAATATGCACCACTGAATAAAACATTAAGCATTTGTCATGAGGAAAAGCTGTACTGTTACGCCAGGTGGATGCAACGGGATCACTCCCAGGGAGTCATTCCATGTGGCTACCCCTTCACCATGCATCTTCTACTTTGCAGTCATAAAATAGCGTTGTAGTGCCTTTTAAATTTTATTTTATATGATAAGCTAAAAAACTACCATACTTTAATGGTTATTTTCATGCATTTGTCTAACAAGCAGTGTTGGGCGCATTACTTGTGAAAAGTAACTAGTTACAATTACAAGTATTTCATCCGAAAAGTAATTAGTTACCAGTAGAATTACTTCTCACCAAAAGTAACTAGTTACAAGTAGAAGTTACTTTTCAAGTTACTTTTCCTGAACAAAAATTCTGATCTTTCTACAACTTCTCCACTTCTTCGACAGAAGCTGGATGCATGGACTGAAAGCGAAAGTTACCCCTTATTTCATGAAAATTGAATTATGATCATCACTTAATTGGATAAATACTCATGCTCACTCTTTTCCCTGTGCCTCTTCCCTTTCCATGGGCTACTTAACNCGGAGTACCAAAATCAGAGACTGACTAATCATTAATGAAGCATTGATCGCCAGGATATTCCCGGCCGACTCAATGCGACTGTTTGCGTGCTTAAGTATAAAGGAATTTTCAGCCAAACCAGGTCATACGGTACGTAACGTGGGTAGGCGCAGTTAGTTCCTTCCCCCTGTTCCGGTCTTTCTGCGACCATGAAAGAGAAAGGGCAAAAATGCCCTCGAGGGGCGACGAGAGGAGCCAGACAGGGCAAGGTCGAGCGAAGACCTTGGCGTCCAATCGGTGTAAGGCAACCAAGGAAAGGGGGAAGGCACAAGCCATATCTGATAAGCCCACACCATATCACTAGTCTGCGCTTCCCTTATTCAGTCACTCTCATTCTCTGCGTGGTCCGTGTCGATCTCCATCGCATCCCCCAAGCCTAGGTGTATTCCTTTTTGGGATCGGAAATTGCCGGCAAGATGTCCAAGAGTCTTAACGCAATCCTCATCATGGGTTCAACCCGCGATGGGCGCAACTGTGAACGAGTGTCAAAATTCGTCTCTAAGATCGCCAAGGAATTGGATTTCAACGTCACCGTCTTCGGTAAGATAATGGTGGAGTTCATGGCTCTCTCCCTTTTTTTTTTTCCTTGCTCTGGTGCTTTCGCCGGCAGTCACGAATGCCAGTTGCAATTACGTCACCAATTATTTGCCTTCATCGAACCCGTTATGAGGAGCCTGTAGAACAATTTGAAATGAAGCGAACCGTGTCAAGGGCACGTACTATTCGGGAAATGTGAAGAAAATGAAATTCTAAACGTCAACTTGCAGCTCTAGCGGCTCGCAAAGCCATACCTTCGGACCGTGGCTAACCTGTGACGCTACGCCAGACAGCTGTTTTTCACACGAGAAATTACGAGAGAATACACATGTCGACACACCGATCAATCGGTTTTCCGTGAAGAGACTGCACTCGAGTGCATCCGGGGGGAAATGACGAGCCATGGAAGTGTAGTGGAGGCCTTGGGCCGATCCCACGTTCATCCTCTACGCAATGACTCGGCTCATTCGTGAAAGTCTGCGCAACATTCATTTCTGCCTCGCGGTGAGGTAAAATTAGCCGATTACTAGATCTCGAAAGAAATGAGGCACATTCATTGAAATTTAACGCAGATATCCTGTTTCAATCCCCTACGACTTGAAATGGCAGTTTTCTTTCCAACAAGCGAAGGTCGAAAGTCTATCTCCTTGAAATTGTGACGTGAAAGTGGTGACAGTGCCCTGTCTCGCTTTTTCATGTCTGTTTAGAATGGTGTGAACCTGCAATGAAAGGCATCGGATTGCCCGATGCCTTGCAGTGCGGGTTCACCCTTGTACAGCAGGGTGTGTCGCCTGGGGTAAACATCTGAAAGTATACCGGAGTAAATTTTGATTTCTTTTATTATAGAAACAATTCATATAGGTATATATTAAACACTAAACACAACGGTATGTTGACATAATGGCAGGGTCGGACTGGCGGCCCGGGGAAATCGCTGACAGGTTCTCCCTCCCCAGGAGTATACATATATTTTTTTATTATCAGGTCTGGGGGCCTCCTGGGAAATTTCCCGGTGGGCCAGCCCGACCCTGCATACTGGAACCGTTCATTGATCAATTTAACAGATGAACGAACATGTACCGTCTAGCTGAAAAAAGGTCTAACACTGCATACGGCCAATTACTCTATGACACAGTTGAACAGAAGTGAGAGCAGTGGCCTGTGGCCTCCAGGGTCGGACAACTACTATCTTTGGGGGTATTTGATGGATGATGTCTACTGCTATAGCCCATATTCTAAAGAGGAGCTGCAGAATAACAATGCCTCGGCAACATCTGCAGGCTGATATTTCATATATTATATAATACTCTGGTATATTTCTAAATACAAACCCTGTACCACAGTTTAGGCTTTCATGTCCCATCTCTGCAATACTTTGGTATCTATTTGCACCCAAGAGTGGATGACTAAAATGTGAAGTAAGGTTGAGGTGCAACATTCCTTATCGCCTTCGCGTGCGGGTTTCAACCATATTCATAATTGGAAGGAAAAGGTTTGATATTCATACCGAAAATTGTCAAGCACCAGTTTGTAATTTATCTGAATTTGCTGTGATTGCGACGCACGTATTAATTGATTACGTAATAGTCCCTTCCCCTCCCATACCCCTTTTGCAGATCCCCTGGAGATGAACGTGCCGATGCTGAAGCAGCCATTGCACTTCATGGCGGACCAATCGAAGGCGCCAAAATGGATGCTGGAGACAAACGAAAAGATAAAGGCGACCGATGCTTTTATCATAATTTCACCAGAGTACAACTGCGCCGTCCCGCCTGCTCTCTCTAATTTCCTCGATCATTTTCCGCCCGCTTCTTACCGCCATCGACCAGCTGCCATCATTACGTATACCGTCGGTCAGTACCCTTCCTCTTCATCGAGATATTTCCCTCTATAGATTTTGATGATCGTGCTGCTTCTTGTGCAGGGATGATGGGAGGATCCCGAGCTGGGACACTTCTTCGTCCTCACCTGAGTGAGCTGGGCATGGTTACTGTTCCGGCTTACGTTTGCGCAAACCAGATCACCAATTCCATCAATCCCGAAGGGGAGTGCAGCGACGATACTCTGAAGGGCAAGATGGAGCGAATCCTGCAGGAATTGCAATGGTATGGCCGCGCTATCAAGACTGCTCGCTCTGAAACGAAGCCACCTACGTAGGGACCTTCTCATCTCCCTGGCTGCCCCCGGTGTCATTTTTATGCAACACTCGTGCATCACACAAACTTATCATTTAGGGTTTTTTTCATTCACTTGTTGTATTTTAAAACATTTCATGAATTAAAGCATCTGATTACTGCACATCCAAATGAAGCATTTTTAAAATCTCATCTGCAGCTTGGGAATCTGTAATGATGGCGCATAAGTGAGTACAAAGAAAAGTCTAACCAAAGGTTGCCACATGCTTTCGCACCGAATCTGGGACATTTGGCTCCAACTTAGTCGAATCAGCATTTAATCACAAGTGAAAATGAAATCGCTATGGTTGAACATACATATATTATTCTATGAAAAGAGAACAAGCACAACCCTGGGAGGAAAAGGTCAAGATTAGAACTGTCAGAACATCTGGCAACCCTAGTCTAGCTCAAGGCACTAGAACATGCACGAAGCAGCTTTATTATTGTCATAGCTGCCACAAATGACATGATAGGTCTATTCTCTAAATAAAATACAATGAAATCAAACATCAATATGGGGACATGGTATTCAAATTCCAGCCTGAGCAATATTCATAAATATCCAGGAATTACAAATGAAGATTCTGGGCCAGTTTTAAGCTTCATAGCTTCTGCTACATTGTATATAAAATGTCATCCAATGGAAGAACATTATCCAATGCCTTTGATATCACACACAGGGACTGATAGAAATAAAGTTCACATTTCTAATTTATGAAAGAGATCACATTTGAGCTCCCTCAAGTTCCCAATCTGTTTTTTCGACGCCAGGGATATGGTTCAGAATCCCACCTCTGATCCTCCCGTGATTCAGACTCCTCTTCAACACTATCCCAAAACTCGCCATTCAGCCACTTTTCCATGAGAGGCATCAGTGTCTGGTCCTTAAATTCTTGCACTGTCTTCATGAATCCTTCCAGAGACTTGGTTTGCAGGGGATTCAACTCCCTGCCAAAACTCCTCACCCTTCCCAGGCTCAGTGCAGGTCCAGACAGAGCTGGGAAAACCATGGCCATGGTGGGAAGAAGAGACAGACCCAGGGCAACCATGACAGTTCTGTCACCCTCTGTGACAACTGTCTGAAATCCATCTTCTACCAGATTTCCCAATATTCCTTGCTGTGATGTCTCATCAGATCCAGCTGCTGCTCCTACATTTCCCTCAAGCACACTAGTTGAAATATCTAGACCTGACAAGAAACCTGCCTCATCGGGAAGGAAGGCAAAATCTAGTCTAGTATCATTAGATGCTGCACTTGAACTGGTTGACATTGGAGGCATTGTCGTGGTACTGGTTGCCTTTGTTGAATGAGAGAGAGATGGCATATATGGCTGATTATGGTGTTGATATACACCAAATGCATCCATGACAGAAACTATCTGTCCATTCAAGGTGGCTGATGGCCTATCTGCTAGTAGGGGGCTGTAATTGCCAAGATCATACCCTTGGTAAGGACGACCAGTAGTGGATCCAGAGAATAGCATGGGAGCTGTTGTTTTTTGCAAGTTATATGGATCAGGAGATGATGCCAACACTGGTAGACCTGATCTCTTTATGCCAGGTGACCTTGTTGAAGATTCTGACTCTTTGGATGTTGTCACATTAATTTGAGAACCTGCTAGGACAGGAACGTAAATGTTGTTCCTCTTACCAGTTGGATACATTTGGTTAAGGATGGAGGGTATGTCAGCTGACCCATGACGCTGCGTACCGTGTGTGGCAAGGACCTCCGTCAGTACACCTTCGGGGATTCGAGACAAGGGGTTGATGGGTTTCACTGAGAACTCTGTTGTCAGGGTTGGCACAGGAATCGCAGGTCTCTCTGTGGATGTCAGAGCTGCAAATAGAGTGTCTAGCTCTGGTCTTTGAGTTGTAATTGTGAATGGTAGGGGCTGCTCATGAATGCTACCTGGTTCCAGAATCTGTGGCTGCTGCTCACTTAGCTGTCCATGAACATTGGAAGCTAGGCTGGGCTGAAAGCCTTTATACAAGGGATGGATCCCTGATATGAGGGAGCTGCTTGGTGATGGCAGGAAATTCACAGTGTGACTGTTTGAATTAAGAGGAGATGAAGTTGACATTGGAAATGAAGAGATAGAGTTTAGATAGTCCATGACTGGGGTAGGCATTTGCTTTGGTAGGATCACACCCCCATCAACAAGTTCTTGATTTCCAAACAGGAAGAGTGGCACCGGACGTGTCCCCATCAAATTCAGCTGTCCATTTATCTCCTTCCAGATGTTGACCATAACATGTGGAGAGCCTTGTCTGGCTGAAACTGGCTCTGTTTCACTTGGGTACATCTCGGGTGTTGATCGAGAACTCTTCCTCCTAGAAAACAGCCATGGTGTGATGGGAAAATTAGGTGTTGGAGAAGACCAGTGATCTGAAGATGATGGAGAAGGTGATGACTTTGTTGGGTGACGCCTCTGGTTGATCTCAACTATTATTCCAGGAGCCAAAACAGCAAGAGTTCCTTTGGATGTCATGTTTGACATTATTTTTAGGTTGCTGATAGAATAGTTGAAGCTTGGGTAGATGGAAAATGCATTAATGGAGTTTGTGATTTCTGGAAGCTGTGGTGTTTCTGTTGGAGGTTCTGTTGTTTCTGTGGTATATTGAGGTTTACCAAATGTGAAAATTGGGAGTCCTTTGAATTCTGTAGTAGTTGGAGGCTCAGTTGTGGTACTGGTTGAAGAGGGCTGTGGCTCAGTTGTGGTGCTGGTTGAAGAGGGCTGTGGCCTTGTGAAGAGTTTCTGTGGTGCAGTTGTGGTGCTGGTTAAAGAGGGCTGTGGCCATGTGAAGAGTTTCTGTGGCGCAGTTGTGGTGATGATTGAAGAAGACCATGGCCGTGTTATGAGTTTCTGCGGCGCAGTCGTGGTGCTGGGCCTAGAGGACCATGGTGGTGTAAAGGGCTTTTGAGGCTTAGTTATGATGCTGGTTGAAGGGGACCATGGCCTTGTGAAGAATTTGTTTTCATAAAATATGGGGCTCGTTTGGCTTACGCCCTGGTTGTTGATAATAGTCACTTTGTTAGTGAATGGGGAATTAGGTTGGAAAGTTGGTCGATTGAAAACCGGAGGCGGGCGAGTAGCAGAAGTCAGTAGACTCTCGTTTGACATGCTTGCTACATAAATACTCGTCTTGAGTGATGACGGAGTCACATCAGGTGTTGGTTTGGTACGATCAAGCAAGAAGGTGACCTCAGGTTTGATTTCCATCAGAGGAGTCTTTGTTCCCTCTATTAATGAATTCAGGAACGAAGGGGTCACTGACACATATGGCTTCTTAGTGACTTCATATGATGAGGAAGTAGAAGTTGGATACCTAATTGTTGAAACGTGAGATTTCGAAGTTGATGCGTCGGGCCGGAGTGTCGAATAAGTGTTCTGAAATGCTGGGGCATTTGAGGAAAGTGATGATGGCCTGGTGCTAGTAAAGAAATGTGTGGGGTACTTTGGTACTTCGGGTGTTTGTGAACTCGTCTTGGTGCCAGTCTGGGTTGATTGAGGTCTCTTCGAGGATGTAGTTGGCTGAAATGTGCTTGAGGAGGGATAGTACGGGGTGCTACTTGGGTAGAAAGGTGTGGGATAATGCGTGACTGGGGTGCTATAGCTAGGTGATGGTAAAAGAAATTTCGTTGTAGATGGTCTCCTGGTGGTTGTAGTTGGTCTCCGTGTAGTTGTAGTTGTGGTTGTAGTGCTGGTAGAAGTGGTAGGTGGAGGAGAAGTGGTGGTTGTGAAAGGGATATCAGTTGTGGGCTTCCCTGGAAGCTTCACAATACTTGCAGTGGGTCGGTACGAATCGAGGAGGATGGGAGAGGTAGGAGGTTTCCAGGTAGAAGGTTTGCCAGTGATCAATGGTGGACGGGTTTTTGTAGTTGCAGGTGCAACGTTCACCAACCCTTGACTCGTTATGATCTGGTTCTTGGGCGGTGACGATGTTCCGTTCCGGGGAGGTCCAAATCCAAGGGTATTTTCGATCGTAAATGAAGGTAGAGTTGAAGTCGAAGGTATGCTTTCAATATCGACGGTACTGCGGTGCTGTGGATATGCCACTGGCCTTTGTGTACTCGGTTGAGAGTTCCCAAAAACGATTGTGGGTCTTTCACTTTGTGTAATAGTTGTCCCTTCGGTCGTTGTCTTCTCGGTAGCTGTAGTTATGGGAACAGTGGAACTTTCTGGAGTGGTTGCCGTATTCTTGGTCGTGAATAACCAGATGATGTTCGGTTCAGTTGGACGATACTGAAAGTACTTGTCTGCCCACTTGGAGAAGGCATTCTGAGTGAAGTATGAGCTGAGTGAAGGTTTCCCATAAGCTTGAGGGGAGGGTAATTCGTCAGAGGAATCTTCTGTGTACTCCAACTGGAAATCCTGGCTGGGTGTTTCTGCAGTCAAATTTTGAGTGAAATACCGATCTGCCCATGATGGCTCCTTACCCCCTGTGATGTGGTTGAAGGTGAGGCTATTCAGTGGAACATAGGAACGAGGAGATTTGCTCGTTTCCCCGAGGTTCAGTTGTGGGTGATAGTGAGACAGGACGAAAGATGGTAATCCAGATCCAGGATTTTGATTTTGATTCTCAATGCCAGCTGTCAGTTGAAGAGCCAAGATGAGCAAAGCAGAAAGCAGAATCATCTTTTCAGGAGTTCCACCTGTAAAGAGAAAAGGAGACTGGATTAGAACTTATGAGTAAGACTTCACAGAAAACGAGAATTTCGAAAGTACAATAATCACTTGAAAAATGTGAATGTGGAATCTGTGAGAGGGAACGAAAAAACATAATGGGTGTTATAATTTGAGAAAAACGTCAGCACTGAATCGGCGAAGATTCACGTCAACCACCTGGATGCGCTTCGAGTAAATCGTCACTCAGTCATCCCTGCGTCCAAATTCTCGTCGATTAAACCCGAGGATGACGTTTTCAACGGAGCTGATAGTACAGGGACCATAGGCGCCGGAAACTTCTTTTGAAAACACAGCGTGACGGAAGAAGCAGCTGGCGCATTTGACGGAACCAGGGAAAGGTGTCAGTACACACAGGGAGCATGAAGAAAACACGAGAAGGAATGGTGAAGAAAATGACTCGATTAACAAAGACGGCTTTGTACGGTTCTAGAAATACATCAAGCAC